CGTTCTGTTGGTCAGCAAGTTACTAAGGGCAGCCCAGATTCAAGGGAAGATGAATTAGATTACACCTAATCTCCAAAGCAGGAAGATGTGGGCTGTCAAGGAGCTGATTGTAAAACTCCTTTGGGGAATAAATCAGTTTTGTAATTACTGGTTGCCCAACAACTACTTTGTATTTGAGGAGAAAAGTGACATGTTGCATATGGTTTCTTCTATTTTGTATTTGACTTTTGCTTAATGTAGTACAATTGGTGACCCTGGCTTTGACTCGCCATTAGTTTAAGTATGGTAATAATGCTAATTGTATGTGGACAGCAGTGGCGAGAGAGGGCTCTGAGATGACAAGAAGCGTTTAAGTCGGGGTGATTGGGAATGTAGTTGTACTTTTGACTGAAATAGGAAACCCAGGAGGAGCAAAAACATTTGGGCCCAACAATGTAATGATACTTTCTACTGCAGGTAACAAAATACCCAACCAAAGGCAACCTAAAACCCTAATTTTTCTCATAGAAGTCTGGGCAGATAATTTTAGATTTGGTTCAACTCAAAGATGTCCAGCCCCAGACTGCCTTTCTGAGCATCTTTGACCTTCTTCTCTTGTTGCAAGATAGCCACCTCAGCTCCAAGCATCACATTAATTTTTTTTTATTGACAGAGAAAGGAGAGGATCTCTCTTGATGTCTCCTGTCCCTAAGAGCTCCACACTGGTCATGATTGGGTCACATCCCATGTGCTGGCTTCAGAGGAGCCTGGGAGAGCTGGTCATGGCGTGCTTTGGCTTTTTAATTAATGGGAAGCCAGCTCTGCTAATAGGGAGAAAGGCATTAGGTAGGAAACCAGCATCTGCCTCAGTGATGAATTCTTTTCTCTCCCTAGGCTCACTTAGCAGCCTTACAGAGCTTGAACTAAATGGGCTAAATTATAACTATGATAAATTAGTGTTTTTTAGAAACCAGTTTCTCAGTGGGCTTTTTCTATTTTTGTGATTGAGAGCTAACCCACTGCTTCTTAACAAATAAAAGATTTGATTATGTCCCTTACACTTTTAAAATATAAATGAAAGCTCTTTGGCTGCCATGAAGACATATATCCATCCCATTAGGCATCGTGCAGGATTGCCTTTCTGGTATCATTACACATTATACATCTTCCTAAGTGCCTTATGTGTGTGTGAGTTTGTAAGAGGAAGAGGATCCCGTAGACATTATGAACCTTGTTTGTTTCAGAATCGAGTCTCAGAACCAGGACAACCAATTCTCTGTTCCCCTGAATGGCAGAGGATGACTGAGCCGGGCCTGTGGCACAAGCAGAGTAAAACTCAGAAAGCATAGATCTCGGCTAGAGAAAGGAAGTGTCTTGGCTCAGAATGGGCATAGTGTGGGCACCTGGAATTGCAGAGTAGTGCTTAAATTCCTAAGCTGGGTAAAGTTGGAATCCTTTATTTTGTGGATCTGTAATTGTAATGGTCTATGCTGTAATTTTCCAATGGTGATATTTTTCACTGGATAAAATTCACATGTAATAAATTGGGGCTGAGAGTGTCGCTAATGGTACCTTTGCTGGAACAGTAGGAGGAGGAGAGGAAGACCCGAGGAAAGAAGCCCTGACTCTCATTTGCATCTGGAGCAGTGTATGCTTTCATCTGGCATCCATTGAATGCCTACATGCCCATAGTGCAGGGCATAGAAGAAGAGACCAGACCAGGGCTGCCTCTGAGGCACTGGCAGCAACTCTGCCTTCTCATCACTGTAGAAAGTGAATGTGGGAAATCACCAGTGTCTACAGCAAGCTGGTTGAACTGGTTTTCCTTATAAAGTGTTTAATTTCCAAATTTGAGTTGGTATAGTAAAATCACATTATGTTACAGTAATTGTGTTTGAACTAAATTATGGTGAGTGCCAAGAGAAGGCCTTAGCCACTCTCTGATATTTCAGAAATAGATTTCAAAGCAACTTTGTGCCTTAGGGGGAATTTCGTTTCCATAATACCTGAAAAGATTGACTCAAGTCAGTGAATCTGTCATTTACTAAAAGGTGTATTTCTAAAAGTCCTGTTTTAAACGTTAAAGGTATTATTGAAAATTTGATACCTCTAACCAAAATAAAAAAGCTAATGCCTTATATACTTCCAGAAAGTAAGCAAAAACGGATGTCAAGCTTATACTCTTCCCCTTAGCTTCCCCTAACCACACAGATCTGGCCCCACTCTAGACTTTAATATGCAACCAAGATTACATGAGCCCTAATTCATGTCATCAGGGGAATCGGGCACCTCTCCCAGTGGTGGCCTTAAGTGTCCTGGTTTTGACTGCCACTTTTTGCTCCAAATCTTAATCCTGGCTTGAATCCCAGGCTTCTAGGGCCCGCGCATTGCCATGCCTCTCTCCGCTGTGGGTACAGCCTGTTCGGGCCCCAGGGCACTGGCATTCAGGTCTCTTTTACGGCAAGCCTCCTCTCCTGGCTCAGCACTAACAGGGAAATCACTGCAGAGTGAGTTAGAGGTGTCTGGCACCCCTCGCTCCTCTGTCATCCCTGCTACAGGGCACTGCATTGCTTGCTGGCTGGGGCCACCCACCACCTTCCGGGACTTGCTTCTCCCTGCAGCATCTCTTTTCCCACTTCCTAGTCTTCCCCACATCCAGAGGCTTCCAGAATGTAACCCTGGGCTGGGACTTCCTTAATCACAAAGTCTCAGAAAAGTGTTTTTCTAACCCCAAATCACCCACCTTTCCTAACCCTGGTGATTCAGGTTTAGCCATATTAAAAAAAAAAACAAAAAAAAAAAACTGGCAGAAGTTTGAAATTATAAACTTTCTTTAGTGGGCTCAATATTCAGGGTATCCTGGGTCAGGCATTCAAGACCTCAGAGTCCCTGAGCTTTCTTCCCTGTTTGGGGTTGGCCAGCAGGGGTTCACCTACATCTCTGAGTTTCTCTTTGCTATGGGCATTTCCCAGATATGGCTCCACTTCCTATAAATAGACTTTTTAATATGTTTCATAGGCATATAATAGTTCAAATCAGAAGAATAATTTTAGAATAAAACACCTTAGAAGAATTGGGTCAATAACAACTTAGAGTCTATAAAAGGGCTATTTCTGGTGCCTGCCAGAGTGGCAGTGGGGGCGGGGAGGTGTCCAGGCTGTGTGAGGTCATGGGGTGAGTACAGCAAGTCTACTTGGGGCACCAATGTCCCAGCAAATTTGGAAGACCTGTTTAAATGTTAAAACTACAAGCATGCTATAGGGTAGAGTACAAAGTTTATAATAATTTTAAGGTAGGAAGTTTTACCCATGAAGAGTTTCACTTCAGGGCTGCTGTCCCAGACGGCTCCAGGGGGTCAGTTAAGGCAACTATGATAGAAGTTTGAGAAACACTGTGCTTAAGAAAGTACAAAAATGTGTAACTGTAAGAGGTGTTATGCTATGGCATTGGTTACTCCTTATTCTGCAGATAATTGGCAAACTACAGACATTCTTGTTTTATGTAGCATGTGTGCCAAGAAAGTTATGTTTGAGTTGATTCATTTGTAAATTGAATACCTGTAAATGCAGTAAACACTTTTTTAAAAATCCTAAAATAAATTATTGTATACATACTCCCTGGTTATTAGTTTTGTAAGTTTGAGTTTAATAAAGTTATTTTTCTTAAAATGGATTTTTGTCACTTAACTATAAAGATAAACATCAACTCATCTTAAATTGGAAATAGTGCTATATTAATTTGACTTTCAAAAAATGTCATTTTATCAATACCATTGAATTTATCTGATTCATACCAATAAAAATTTAAGATTATATTTGTTGCTGAAGTGGAGTAGTACAAGTAATATTTTTTAGGTTCCTGCTCATATAAAATATTTTTGTTTTTATTTTTAATGCTTAATATTATCTTAATGAAGCACATACAACAGAACATCAGTTTGGTCATGCAGTTTTTCAGGGCAGCTGATTAAATAAGCATGAGATGAACCAGGCTAACTTCTAACTTGATTTGGAATCTCATACTATTTATTACTCTAAGCAATTATGTGAGCCAAATATAAATGTTCAGACATTTTCAGTAGCACGCTGTTTATGTCCAGCTACTTCCAAATGCTTTCTTGATCTTCAGACAGTATCATCTTCAGTAAGTGTCTAATAGGTAGGCTTATTAAAGTTTTATTGTACTTAATGTAAAGGAGTGGAGATGAAGATAAAGTAGAATGGATAAAATGTCATTGGAATAATTTGAAGTACAATTTAAGTAAACTTTGTTGTTAATTTGGAAATTTAAAAGTATGTGACCACAACTTAAGATGCATTCAAATATATCATTATGGAGGAAATAAGAACAGTATTGTATTATTGGTTTCTAGATTTTTTGAATAAGACTATTAACTTTAGTCTAAAAATATAAAGATAAAGCCAACTTAGCTACCCTATTTATTAATTCAGTAACTATCTGAGTTAAGCAACTGCTTTATAGAAGATTTAAATAAGATGTAGAACAGTATAAATATGATTGTCAGCTAGACAAGTACATTACTATATAGAAATTCTTACAGAGCATTAATTTTTCAGTGAATCTTTTAATATGATTATAATCTCTATTACACAGGAAAATACTATAAAAATGTTATTGACTTACCTATGTAGTGTGAAAAAAGTTTTAAAATTTTAAATCAATCATATTAGTCTAAAATTTTATCACTGAGTTAAAGTAACAGAAAGTAGATGTTTTCTGGACTATGATTAAATCAAGACTTGCAAACTAGTAAATTAGCTTTGAATTGAAATAACTAAAATATTTTTCATATTAAGATAGAATATTGGGTAACACCAGAAGTTCGACTATTGAGTGCTCTGAATCAGGGCACAGCACAGGGACAGGCTCTGAGTGTTAGGAAAATGCTGACTTGCGTTGGGTTTTGCTGGTAGAATGATGTCTCTACTACAAACGGAATTGTGAGTAAGTTGTTGAAATGAAATTTTAACGAATTTTTATTTTTTCTATTTCATTATTAGGCCATCAGCTGCAAAGGTCAACACAGTATATCATACACTCTGTCAAGGAATCAGACTGTGGTGGTCGAATATACACACGATAAAGATACGGATATGTTTCAGGTAACATGTTTCTTTATACTGGAAATTTTAGGACATTATTCCTTCAGTTCTATATTTTGATATGTGATCAGACCTTCTAGCACATTAGCTTTTAGTGATACCCAAGGGGAAAGAGGTGAGGATTATTCCTATTTGGTTTTTGAGAGACTAAGAAAACTTAATTCTAAAACTGCAGAAGGAAGTATAAAGGCTACATTCTCAAATCTCAATGTAATAAAAATAGACTTTAATAAGAATAAAATTTTTATAGCCAGCTACTTTTAAAAGTCAACATGTTTAAAATACTTCCTAAATAACACTTGAATGAAAGGTGACATCAAAAATACAATTTTAGGCCTTTTTAAAAAACAACTGGGAACATTATATAGCAAAACTCATTTGATATGACTGACAGCATACTCAAAAGAAATGTAAAAACTTAAGTGCTTTTATTATTTGGAAGGGAGGAAGCAAGGGAGGGAAGAAGAGAAGCAGAGAGGATCAAAGGGCCAGGGAAGTGAACATTTATCTCAAAAAGTTCTGTTTAAAAAAATGACACTAAGAAAGTAGAGGTTCAGGAATAGTTCTAGTGATATATATTAGAATATCCAGAAATACATCAAAAGAAAGTAGGAGGAAGGAAGTAATAAAGGGGGAAAAAATTATCATTAGTTTAAAAAGAGAATTACTATATCTAAGATTTGGTACTTTAAAACAACAGAAAATTAAAATCAAGGCTAATTTAAAAAACAAATAAAGCAAACACAAATTGGAAACCATGAGGGTTTGCATTTATATATGGAGAGTTAAATTATTAAATGATGTTGAAACAAATGTCAAAAAAAAGTATCATAGATACATCAAAAAGGATTAAAATAACTCTTGCAAATAAGAAAATATGCTCAATTTATCAGACTGGCAAAAATCCAAAAGGTTTTGTCAAAGATGTGGGAGGCAGGCTTCTACATGCTATAAATTGGTATGATCTCTATGGGATGGTGATTTGGAAATACCTATGAAAAATACAAAATGTTTATACTCTTAGACTCAGCTCTTCTTCTAAAGCTCTTTTCTTCCTAGAGATTTACCTCAGAGATACCCCTGCACACTTACAAAATGATATTTTTATCAAGTTTCTGCTTGACGCATGGTTTACTAACAAAAGATTACAAACAACCTAAATATACTTTAATAGGGGACCAGTTCCGTGAATTTGGGGATATAGTCGGGGCCTCCAAGACTATAAAACAGAATAAGCAGTCACAGAAAGAGTTCCAAACATATTTAAAGAATTAAATATTAATACTATTAAATATATTTTTATTGTGTCATTGATAGCATTATATTCAGTTAAGATTAATGTCGAATGTTAGTAAAGTAAATAATATTAAATATATTAAATTGTAAATAGCATATTAATCATTAAATATTAAATAAGTATTATTAAATGTTTAAATAATGGTTATATGCAATAAGTAAAGCAGTTGCCTTTGGGGAAGAGGGATAGGCAGGTGATATACAGGGAGGTATTTCATACTTTTTTATTTCTTGAATCATGTTAATGTGTTAGCTATTTTATAAAATGACTAAACAATTATGGGTAGATAGAGCCATCATCATAGTCATAGTCATAGGTATAGACATAGTTATTTAAGTGCTAGTTTGAACTCAAAAGTAAGATTTATCAAATTCAGACAAAATATTAAGTGGTTTTACTCTTCATGCCATTTTATTTGATAATATTCCCAATATTTTTTTCTCATTCTACTAAATATCTTAGTAGTTTTAGATGGTAACATTAGCATCTATATAGTTGAGGAAAATGTTTAAGAATAACACTATTTTTTCAATAGTTATTTCTTAAAAGGTGTGAGTGTGTTTATTTCACAGTGCTCAAGCTCACTGTCATAATCCTCCATTCACAGTTTCATTTCATGAGTGCCTACTGTGTGTCAGAAACTCACCTAGTTCCTAAACATAGACCACTATGGCTACCTCTCATGGAGCCTACATTCTAGAGGAGGCAAATAGACCACAAACAAGCAGGCATTCAGGCAGAAGGCCAAGGCCTCAGGGTAGGAGCAGAGTGAAGGAGGAGGGAAATGACCTGAGATGACCTTGGAAAGGTAGGCAGAGGCGGGGAGAGGTAGGGCCTTTAGGCCAAGTAAAGAACTTGGGTTTTATTCTAGGAGTTTGGGAGAAGCTATTGGAGGATTTTAAGTAAGAGAGAGTTATAATCTGATTTATGTGTTTAAAAGATAGCTCCAGCTACTTTCTGTAGAGGAGAATGTAGGAGGCCAGTGTGAAACTGGAAAACCAGTTTGGAAGCTAAGGTAATGCAATCCAAGTAAGAGCTGGTGGTAATTGGAACAAAGGTGAGGAAAAATGTGTTTTGGAGGTAGTGTGGACAGGATTTCAACAAGATTAAACATGGGTGTCGATGAAGGAACCAAGGATAATTCTTGGTTATTGATTTTTAGCTTGAGCAAATTGGATGCCAATCATTGACATAGGGAATCCAAGGTCTAAGGGGGACCTAGGTTCTGTTTGGAACATGTTACATTTGATATGCTTATTAGACATCCAAGTGTGTGCACTGGGTGTGCTAGTCTGAAGCTCGGGGGAGAGATCAGGGCTTTGTGGCTAATAGCTGGGATTTGATTAGATTACCCAGGGAGAGAACAAAAAGAGAAGGAAAGGGAGCTATTTACCAACTAGCCTAGAGGGGTTTCATTATTTGAATGCCAGGTACAAATGTGTCAGCATATGCTGGCTGACTATAAGCCCTGGAAACCTCCACAAGAGCCTTGGGAGAGAAGCTCAGTTGCAGTGGGTTGAGGAGAGATGTTAAGGGAATGAGTAAAGAAATGGAAGCAGTAACTAGTGAGGGGTTTTTCAAGAAGTATTGCTGTTAAATGAATCAGAAATGAGGTAATAGTTTGAGGGTTGCCTGCAGGCAAAGGAAAGTGTTTTTTAAAGACGAGAGACAAGAACAGTGCTACTCAAACTCCTGGGCAGAGCAGCAAAAGTCTGTTAACAGTAACTGGCACCTCGTTTCTCGAACTTAATTTGTTCCTGAAGGCTGTTTGAGAAGCGATGTGTTTGAAAACCGAATCATTTTTTCCCATTAGAAATTATGTAAATTGAATTAATCTGTTCCAGACCCCCAAATGATTCAGTTTTAATCTTTCTTATATACACTACATGTCTAATTTACTGTTTAATTTATAAACACTTCTTAAATTTATCAAACTACCCACTACTAGCTTTAAACATATTTTTCATATATCACTGCCTCAGAAATGCTACCACCAGCTAACTGCTTTTCCTTGATCCAGTCAACAGCAGTTTTTCTACCTATTCAATTGCCTGTTGTTGTTGTTTCATGAGCATTTTCACATCCTTAGCAACATTAGCACTCTTGATGGCCTCTTTATGTTTTAATTGTGCTAATAGTATATTTTGTATATGGGCCAGCAACAAAAGCATTCTCTCCTTTGTTTGTTGCCTGAGAGATGCTTTTTATCATGCTGAGGTATCAGCATGAAAGGGTTGTCAGGTGGAAAACTGAAGGTTTTGGTCAACCAAGACATTTTTTTATGAAAAACTTGGTCAAGAACCGAATTGTTCAAGATGGAGCTGTTTGAGAACCGAGGGAACACTGAGTGAGATGAGTAGGAAATTGGAAGCTGTTAAGCAGTTTGGTATTCCTGAAGCATCGGAATGGGTGATCATTTTTCCAATACTCATGTTATTGTATTTTTATAAGGTATCAGTGGCAAGTTGAAATTTACAAAACAAAAAAACTTGTTCTTTCCTCCAAGGAGGCACAGATTGAGAAGCTCCAGGGTGTGTTTGATAGCTGGCATGATCCAGTCTCCAGAGAGAAATTGATGATGCAGGAGAGAGGGAAGGGTGGCAGGAGCAAATATTGGGAGCAAAATCCTTAGGAGGCGGAGAACATTGGGATCTCATGCATCCGTGGAGAGATGGGTCCTGAATAGCAGTGGCAATATGTCATTCTTGTCTTAGGAGGGAAGCCAGATAACATTACAGGTGCAGGGATGTGGGAAGGGTTGGTCGGGGAAATGTGAGGGAGGCCCTTTCAGATGCTCCCGTACTATCTTACCTGTACTGACTTCGACTGACAATCAAGCAAACCCAAACTCTTCTAGGTATATTAAAATGTAAAGTGCTGAACGATGCTGTGTCTGTATCAGTAGTAAGGATTAAAGTTCTCCATGTGGCTACTGTATGAATATCAGCACTATATGAATATCTTGGCTTGTCTACATGAAATAATGTAAAGTTGATCCAGTAAACAAAAGAAAGAACAGGACCTAGTTTTTCCACAGTGGGTGAGTTTTCAGTAGGAAAGTGGCTCAATTTTTTTCCTGGCAAAAGCCCCCTGAAGTTTGTGTTCTACGGTATATATAATAATAAAAGCATAATATGCTAATTAGACCAGATGTACTTCTGGACGAAGTCGGGGCTGCAAGGGAAGCCCGGGTCCCAGGTGCCAGAAGGAAGGAAGCCGGTGCTGGCAGCTGTGGGGGAAGGAAGACCTACTCTTGCACCAATTTCGTGCATCAGGCCTCTAGTAAGATTATACTCGCGCTCTGCAGGTTAGTTTTAAGTGGAAGCGAATTGATAAACAAATCTTATATGACCAGTCAGATAAGTATCATGACTTGAAATAATTGATCCTAGCAGTATGTTCCAGCTGGAATAAAATGTCATGTATTACAGTCAATTTCAGTTAATTCATCAAGACATTAATTTAATACCTTGGGATGAGATCAGAATGGCCTTTCTTGAAGAGAATAATCGCTGTAGACAAGGAGCAGTTGTGTGACATTCTACTAGAGCGTGGTTTTAGCTTTGAACTTACAACAACTTAAAAAGGCATGGAGGTGACAAATAAGGTCAGAGACTGTGTTGTTATGAGAACTCTGGTTTTGTGTGGTGACCAGGCAATTTTAGAACTTTTCACATTTTCTAAGCTTCATTGGAATAGAGGTTCAGGATGGGTTTGTTTCTGAGTTTGGAGTAGCCTTTATTTTCTCCTTTATGCTTTCCAATATTTGTGAAATATTTTGTATAAGTATTTTTTACTTCTTTAATTGAATAAAAGTCTTTTAAAGTGAAATAAGTCAGACACAGAAAGACAAAAACTATATAATATCACTTATATGTATAATCTTTAAAAAAATAAAAATCATAGAAACAGTCTAGAATGGTAGTTTCCAGGGGCTGAGGGTGGGGGAGGGGTTTGGTAGAGATGTTGGTCAAACAGTATAAACTTCCAGATGTAAGATGAATAAGTTCTGGGGATTTAATATACCACATGGTGATTATAGTTAATAATGCTGATTATATCCTTGAAAGTAGCTAATAATGCTGATTACATACTTGAAAGTAGCTAAGAAAATAGACTTAAAAGGGACTTTAAAAAAATTAGAGTGGTCTGAATCAGAACTTCTGAGTTACACGCCCAGCTTTTAAATGAATCTAGCAGAGAGGAGAGTCTGCCACTTCAAAAAGATGAATTGTATGATGATATGATTTTGTAATACCTCTAATTTACATTTTATGTTGCATTTTTAAACAAGTTACAGGTTTTCTAAACTTGAAATGCATACATTCAGGCAATATGTATCTAGTTAAGTTGATGAATTTCCGTGAGCCCAGTGGTTTAGTTTATTCCAGGCACATTTCATTAGGACAAGAAATTAAGGTTTGTAAAAAAAAATACAGGAGAAAAGAGATGTCTATTGTTGGTTGGTTTGCGATAGTCTATGCATGTGAATATATATGTGAGACTTACAAAAGAAATTTAGTATTGTTCCAGGAAGCAAGCAGAGCTAAATTATGCAATATATATTAATACCTTCCCTTTTATGCATTTGGATAAAAAGTGTATTACATTGCTTATATTTTAGGTAGAATTTTGAGATCCAGATAAAGATTCCTGGGAAATTGCCTTTTGCGGATCTTACATGTACACATCTGTGTTCCTCCCGTTGGCAGCTTCTGAATCAAAGTCACTATTGTTAGAACATTAATATGTTTAGCAAGAAATTATTCACTTACATATAAGTGATTTTAAGTTAAGAAGTCTCTTTGGCATATATATCATCACCGTTTTCCAGTGGAGATCCATAGAAAATCATTACATAAACATTTTACTATTTTGTCTTGAGATTTCCTTATTTGTAAACAAATACTTCTGTTCACAGGACAGAACAATTCCTGTCTTATTTGGATTTATTGAATATGAAAAGCTTTATTAGAACTGTAAGATCTGGCCAATGAAATATATGCTTTTTGGCAGCATTTAAACTTAACCAAGGAAAGAAAGCCAATATAATATTATTGGCAACTTTTTAGACTTTCCGAAGAGAATTTTTTTAAAATCCCGAATTGAAATATTAAGACCAGCTTTTTAAATCTTTCATTTGACTGCATCCAAACTTCGGCTGACTTGAATAGCCCTTTACATCCTCCTTACACTGAGGAATGGTAACAGGTTGTTGTTGTTTTTTTGTGTGTGTTTTTTTTAATATATTTTATTGATTTTTTTACAGAGAGGAAGGGAGAGGGATAGAGAGTTAGAAACATCGATCAGCTGCCTTCTGCACACCCCCTACTGGGGATGTGCCCGCAACCAAGGTACATGCCCTTGACCTGAATCGAACCTGGGACCCTTGAGTCCACAGGCCGATGCTCTATCCACTGAGCCAAACCGGTTAGGGCGGTAACAGGTTTTTGATCTTAGGTCTGGGTTAGGGCTCTTCTTTTCCCTTAAATTCTGACCTTCAGAGCAGAGATAAGGAATGTTAAAGGGATCCTGAACTCTCACTCCATTTGAGCAAAATATGATGACATATTTTTCAAGTGAGTTATGAGTGCTTTTATTTACTCAGGTGGGCAGATCAACCGAGAGCCCCATCGACTTCGTCGTCACAGACACAGTTTCCGGCGGTCAGAACAGTGACGAAGCCCAGATCACACAAAGCACCATATCCAGGTTTGCCTGCAGGATTGTCTGTGACAGGAATGAGCCTTATACAGCACGGATATTCGCAGCCGGATTCGACTCTTCCAAAAACATATTTCTTGGAGTAAGTACTATTAAGTACCTTGTTTCAAGAAAAGCACCCACTGTCTGGCCAGTGTTGCTCAGTGGTTGAGCATTGACCTGTGAACCAGGAGGTCATGGTTTGATTCCCAGTCAGGGCACATGCCCAGGTTGTGGGCTCAATCCCCAGTGTGGGGCTTGTAGGAGGCAGCGATCAATGATTCTCTGTCATCATTGATGTTTCTTTCTCTCTCTCTCTCTCTCTCTTTCTTTCCCTTCCTCTCTCTCTCTCTCTCTTTCTCTTTCTCTCTCTGTCTTTCCCTTTCTCTCTGAAATCAATAAAAATATAAAAAGAAAAAGAAAAGCACCCATTATTATCATATATGACATATAATTGTGACCAAAAAATGTATTTTATGTGATGCCTCTACTTAAATTTTGAGATTTTAATTTTCAGATGGCCAGTTTGAAAAGCTGTTATTAAAAATCTGAAAATAATCGCCATTACTTGTTTTACTTGCTATAATTACAATATGTATAGGAATTAATTTTTAAAGTATATCTCTTAACATTGTGCATAATGTATTTATGATAGTTTTAAGGGGGTTTATTTTATAGGGAAAATAAATGGTCAAATCTAGATAATTAGAGTTCAAAGGAAAATGTCAATTATTCATTCTTTCAGAAATTGAGTGTTTGCTGTATATTGGGTTATAGATGTGATATCACAGAGAACAAAACATTAAAATTTCTGCCTTCATAGGGTTTCATGTAAATTAAATCCAAAAGTTTTAGTGAATATCCAGTTTTCAGAGAGGAAGGGAAAGGGAGAGAGAAAGATAGAAACATCAATGATGAGAGAGAATCATTGATTGGCTGCCTCCTGCAGGCCCCATACTGGAGATTGAGCCTGCAACCCGGGCACCAGGCATATGGCCTGACCGGGAATCAAACCGTGACTTCCCGGTTCACAGGTCGATGCTCAACCACTGAGCTAAACCGGCCAGCCCATATAGTTCCTTCTTTGAATCAGGATATTTTTGTAGGGAAAATAAAAACACTCAAAATGGCCTAAACCATAATAAAATTGTATTGTCCCACATTACAGGAAATGCCGAGCAAGGCCAACTGCAGGGTTGCTTGGTTCAGCAGTTCTGTGACATCCCAGGAACCAGTGTCTTTCTGTCTTGCCCTCTCCCTCTGGGCACATTAGCTTCTGGGCGAGGTCTTCCCATGGGTGAGAGATGCTTCTGCACTACCACACACCCCGGCGCACGGCAGCTTCTGGCCGAAGAAGAGGCGGCAGAGGCAGTTTATCCCTTGTCTCTTGTCTCTTTTACTAGAAATTTTTCCAGGCAGCCTCCCAGAAGACTCAGTCAGTTCCCATTGGCCAGATCCGCCACATGCCCACCCCTAAACCAGCCATTAGCAAGGGGCTGGAATCATCAGACCTGGCTTATTGTACTCAGGATTTTCCCCTAAGTCATGTGAGCAATATCCGCCTCAAGAGAGAGGAGCCAAATCCCTGCAGCACAGGTGTCCAGGTGTCTGTCCTGCCATTACAACAAGCTGCTGAGCCTTCCACCCACATCCTCTGCACTGATTCATATGAAAACATAGTGGCCGCAAATTGTTGGCTTCACATTTGTTGAAATTTTGTATGTTTAATAGAAATGTTTTCCCTTCCTCTGCGCATTTCCCCGATAATGAGTTCATACAACGCATCTTTAGATGATGAGATGAAAGCACTGCACAAATAAACAGAAGATTCTGGAATCACCTGGAGGGAGGAGGGTGGGTTGTGAAAAAGAATCTGTGAGGGAGAGGCCCAGGCTTCAGGTTGTTTGTTTTTAAGCTCCTGAGATAAATATAATGTGTCTCTGGAGAGAAATTATTCATCCATTTTACCACTTCTTCCATATTGTTGGGCTAACTGGATATTTTATCCCGATTCGCTTTAAATCGAAAATTCACCACTTCCATCCCCTCCGCACCTACCCAATATTTTAAAGAGATTCTGGAATCCCTTCATTTAGCATGCTTTCTCTATTCTCCAGGAAAAGGCAGCAAAATGGAAAAACCCCGATGGCCACATGGACGGGCTCACTACAAATGGGGTCCTGGTGATGCACCCCAGAGGGGGCTTCACTGAGGAGTCCCAGCCCGGGGTCTGGCGCGAGATCTCCGTCTGCGGAGATGTGTACACCTTGCGAGAAACCAGGTCAGCCCAGCAGAGGGGAAAGCTGGTGAGTAGACTTCACTATGAAAAAATGCAACCGGCTACAGAAACCTAACTCGAGGACTGTCGTTTCCCTCCCCGAAATTCAGCTTTGTACAGGTACACGTGCTGGGTACCACTGGCCCACAAGGGTGAGAATTCTGCAGCCCCATCCAACCTTAAAAGCATAATCATTTATTATACCCTTCACCACAAAATTCCACTTAAATTCACTAAGAATAAACTTATTTTTAGTGTAAAACTTTACTAACTTGGAAAAAAAACTTAAACAGTCTAAGACTAATTAGTGAAAATTTTGATTTACAGAATTATTTACTAGACCTTCTGGAACTAAAAGATAATTAGCTTTTTTTGAGTTTGTAGTAAGAAGTTAATACATAATTCCCTATATAACTCACCAGAATTGTAGTTATAGCTTTTTATTTGAAATAAGTCATATGTGCATTGACTTGGCATGCTAATATTTTCCTAGAACTATTATTACTTACCCCAAATGCCCTAAAGCAGTTGGTTCTTTAACCCTTTCTTCTATGGAGAATGATTGTAATACCTTGAAGGAGAAGCTTTGGGTTTCTGATCTTGCCACAGCTATGAGGCACAGCGTATAAGGTTTTTTAAATTGAATTTATTCTGGTGACATTGGTTTCAAGTGTAAAACTTAATAAAACTTCACACTGCCTCGTGCGCTGATCACCCAAAGTCAAGTCTCTTTCTGTCCCCATTTATCCCCCCTTTGCCCATTTCCACCTCCCCCACCCACCTTCCCTTCTGGCTAGCCCCACACTGTTGTCCATGTCTATGTGTCATATATATACATATATATATATGTTTTGTTTAATCCCTTCACCTGTTATCACCCAGCGCCCCAAACCCTCTTTTCTCTGACAGATGTCAGTCTGTTCTGTGTATCTATGCTTCTGTTTCTATTTTGTTTGTTAAGTATTTTGTTGATTAGAGTCCACATATGAGATCGTATGGCATTTGTCTCTCTCTGAATGCCTTGCTTTACCTATACATATATATATATGTTTTGTTTAATCCCTTCACCTGTTATCACCCAGCGCCCCAAACCCTCTTTTCTCTGACAGATGTCAGTCTGTTCTGTGTATCTATGCTTCTGTTTCTATTTTGTTTGTTAAGTATTTTGTTGATTAGAGTCCACATATGAGATCGTATGGCATTTGTCTCTCTCTGAATGCCTTGCTTCACTTAGCATAATCATTTCCAGGTCCATCCATGCTGTTGCAAAAGGTAAGAATTTCTTCTTCTTCTTCTTCTTTTTTTTTTTTAATAGCCTGGTAGTATTCCATTGTGTAAATGTATCACAGCTTTCTTATCCAATCATCTAAAGGTTCTCAATAAATTTTTCACTTCAGTACTTTCAATTAATTGTTAGTTAGAAGCTAGAACAAGAGAGAATAAATGCTTTCTTCAAAATTCCCATAGAAAAAACATAGGAAAATAGAGGAATGATCCAGCATTTTTCAGAGAGAAAGATGATAACCAAATATTTTTAAACTGGAAAACGAAGATTTGGGGGGGGGAGGGGTTACTAACCTGGCTTTTCTCTCCTTGCTATTTATTATCAGGGAATTTTTTTAATTTTCTATTTTTATACCATCACTCAGCTACAGGTACAACTGCTTTGACGGTAAAACCCAGTCTTGGAGCATCATGGCTGAGTAAATATGAGAAGTGTTTTTTAAGAGAGGCCAAGCAAATTCAATAAACTTTGTCTAAACGCTTTTAAAGAGATTACAAATAGGGAAGAAAATGTGACAGCAGTTTTTCCAAATAACTTTTTGTCTCTGATCACCAGATAGTGTTACACAACACTGACCTATGTTGGCCATCCTGGTTAGTACTCATTCTAACAGCAACAGTGAGAAGTCAATAAAAGATTGCTGGGTGCAGGCACTGCATTAACATTTCAGAGACATCATTAGCTCCTAATTTAATCTTCACAGCAGCCTTGTCAGGGAAGTGGAATTGTCCCCCTTTTATGGGTGAGGAAGGTGTGGAGTAGAGAGGTCACTGTATTTTTCCATGTATAAGATGCTTTTTCTAAAATTGTTAGACTGAAAATCGAGGGGCGTCTTATACACAGAAGTCAGACAAGGAGGGAGCCTTGCAGGTGCGTAGCTGCCTATACCTTGTCAAACAGGCTTCCTCCAATCATGAGCCTTATTGTTAGTGACGTCAGCTGATGCTGTAATTGGAGGTGGAGGTGGAGAGTGTGCAGATGCAACAGAGACTGGAGCATTCTGAGCCCATAAAGATGTCAAAAAAGAAAAAAAGAAAAGATAAATACCTGTAAGTGATTGTCTTACTTTGCAAAATTCAAACTGAATGTAACCAGCTATGCAAAAGAGCATGGAAATAGAGCTGCAGAGAGACAATTTGGACCTCCTCCCACTGAGTGTGTGATCAGACAGTGGAGAAAACAGGAAGAACAACTCCTTAAATGCCAAAAAAGAAGAGGGCCTTAAGAGGAAAACCAGCAAAATGTTTAAAATATTGCTTTCTTAATTTGGGGTTGGAAAAGTGGGGGGCGTCTTATGCACGGAAAAATACAGTAAATATTGCCCAATGTCACAGAGTTAGAAGGTGGCAATAGATTGGATTGAAACTTGGGTCCCCCTGATTGAGAGTCTGGACTCCTGGCCATCACTCAGTACCGTCTTGTGAGGAGTCACATCTGGCTCTCATCTGAGATGGTCACACCAGAGCATTTGCCTCCTGGGCAAATGTAAAGCATTCGTAGCAATCCACAACAATCCACAAAAGGGCTTGTTTGTCCAAGAGGGCACACCCTGGATGCATGTCTTGCCCACTTTGGGAATTGTGTAGTGACCCAGCTTACATGCTGTAGTGTGCCAGAGACAACTCCAAAGTATGTTAATATAGACTAATGTTAGTTTTCCCTGGAAGTGACCCTGAGACCTACGTAAAGCTGTGCTGTACTGTCTGGTAGTATATCACTGACCCAGCCAACAGTAAAGGTTTCCAGTTTCTGTCAGTCTGGTCTTGGACTTTTGGGTGACACTGTGGGGATGAAGGGACATCCTCCTGCGATCCCCACTTGAGAACTTGGAGAGCAATTTGTGTCTGTCCGAGAAGAAAGCCTACTGATCCTTTGCACTTCCATTCCAATGTGTGACACTCTGGTCCTATGCGTGTTACCAGTAGCAGTTGATAGAAATTATGTGTCTTGAAATAGCATTTGTAATTTAATATGGAAATATTGAACTAAGGTGGTCAGCTAAAAGTCCAGAATATTTGTTATGACAACAGTCTTTGCCTCCTGGTAGAGAGTTTTGTATTAACATCATACTCAGTGTTTAATGTGAATCAATATACTAGCGTGTTTTTAACAAGTCACCACAGTTGCTCATTATTACAGCACATGATGAGCCCTTGGTACTTTCATTAAGTGTGGGGGAAATATTTTTTCAGGAGCTTAAACCCCTGAGTAAATAAATAGGCGAATGAACTGTGAATTCTGTCTTACTCATTTACCTAGTTAATGATAACATGGTAACATTTATAATACCGCTCTAGTAGACTCAAGTATTGATTACACTATATTGGCTTTCTGTAAAATTAGGTAAATTCACTTAAGTTGATTTGCTTACCTAATTCTAGGTGAAATTATAAAAATAACCATATTGTTGCCCAGCCACAGTGGCTGAGTCAGTTGAGCTTTATCCTGTGCACTGAAAGGTTGCAGGTTCAATTCCCACTCAGGGCACATATCTGGGTTGTGCGTTCAACCCCTGGTGAGGGCATGTATGGAAGGCAGCTGATCCATGTTTCTCTCTCACATGTATATCTCTCTCTCTCTTTCCCCTCCTCTATCTAAGCACGTCCTCCGTCCTCGTGGATGCAAAGATTAAAAATAAAAAATAACCATAGTGTTACTACGCATAGGCTGTACCAAGTGCTCTGTGTTAATTCTCTCTCAGGCATCACTCAGAGCAGCCCTAGGAGGTCAGTATTGTTACTATTTACAGATGAGGAAACCAGGCTTTAAAAGGTTGTCACTTGCTACAGGTGGAGGATAGGGCTTTCAATTCTGTTTTCTAAGTTTAGCCATCTGATATTTCAGGGCCTGTAGGTTTTAACTATCTCTCACTTCCACAACCCTGTCTATTTCTTGTGCCTTCTCCTTGTCCCCCTTTTGTAGAATCCTATATAATAAAAAGCTAATATGCAAATTGTCCCCTCGGGAGTTCGACCAACTAGGAGTTTGACTGCTTACTATGATGTGCGCTGACCAGGGGGCAGCAGCACGGAACGAAGGAAGGCCCCACCGGCAACTGGGGGAAGGAAGGCCCCAATCAGCCCTGATCGCTGGCCAGGCTTAGGGACCCTACCCGTGCACGAATTTCGTGCACTGGGTCTCTAGTTTAAAAAATAAAATCCAAACCTTTGCCTCTGCACAGTGGTATCTTCCCCATTCTGCCCCCCACACTGTATTCTAGAGAAAAGCTACACATTTTGTTCATAGATAGAGGTAGCACATAAGAGAGTACAGATAGGAAGAAAACAGGCCACTGTGTGGGCAGCCACTATGGTTCCGAAGGCAGGCCACAGGCTGCATTCTGAATCAGCGACCTCCCAGCGAGACCTGAATGATGAGTGGGAGTTCCCCAAGCGAGGGATAGACATGGGGTTGGGTGTGATGGAGAGTGCTACTCAGAGAGCTCTCGTGCGCATGCCTGTGGGCAATCCAGCTCAATGCATCCATAGACTTGAACTGCGTGCACTCATCACAGGCAGCCCTGCTTCACTGCGAGCTGCAGCAGCTGAAGTCGAGTGGCCATATTGTGAAGGTTAGAAGTTTGGGCTTCATCCTGATGGCAGTGGAGAGCCAGCACAGTCCTTTAAGCCAGAGAATGACAAAATTTCTGATCTTCCCCATCCTCTCTTCTCCTTACATGGTTCGTTTCCTGCACCCCAGCCTTAGTGGGGGGTACCCTGGCTCTGTCCTTGGCCTCCTGCCCTCCCAGGGACCCTGGTGGGTAGTCTCGTCCACTCCAGGGCTTCACCTAGATGATGATAAATCCCAGATGTGCTTCTCTGAGCCACACCGGCCTTCTATGCATTACATTATAGACACTTTGCACAACCCAAAACTACACACCCAAAACTGACCTTACTATCTTTCCCCCCAAATCTGCCATTTCTTCTAGATCAGTGGTTCTCAACCTTCCTAATGCCACGACCCTTTAATACAGTTCCTCATGTTGTGGTGACCCCCAACCATAAAATTATTTTCATTGCTACTTCATAACTGTAATTTTGCTACTGTTATGAATCATAATGTAAATATCTAATATGCAGGATGTATTTTCATTGTTATAAATTGAACATAAAGCATAGTGATTAATCACAAAAACAATATGTAATTATATATGTGTTTTCCGATGGTCTTAGGCGACCCCTGTGAAAGGGTCATTCAACCCCCAAAGGGGTCGCGACCCACAGGTTGAGAACCGCTGCTCTAGATCATCTGTCCCTGGAAAGCCCTGTTCTCTATAGACGGTGAAGCCTTTCTTCCTGAATCGGAGCTGAGGGCTGTGAGTCCAGTTCCTCCACATTTAACATCTGTGCCACCGAAACTCTCTTTGCTGAGCTGCACCCACCCTCTTTGCCTGGAGAGAGAGCTCCCACTGTTTCCACTTCCAGTTGCACCCATCAGTTCGGCCTCCACTTCTGGAAGGGACCTTTTGGAAAGGCAAATCGTTGTTTTATAACTTCCTGAAACTGCCCAGGGACACCCTTTGGGCACTGAGGCCAACCGACCTCTCCACCCTGGAACTCCTGTCCTGCCTCCCAACGCCCTGTGCCCCATCCAGCCATGTTCAACTGCCTGTTGAACCTTGTTGAACCCCTTGTTCCCGCAATGCACATGGTGTTTGGCCTTCTCCTGCCTCCTCCTGGTGTGCCTCCTCTCCCACCTGCTGACTCCTAACTACATCTTTTTCAAATCTCTGTTCAAGGAAAACGCTTTAAAAACCATTTCTGACTTTGCCATCATCAGAGTAACGGGAGCAAACATTTACACAGTGCTCACTGCATGCCAGACATTGTTCCAAGCACTTTACTTGCAATGACTTTTTAACCCTCACAATCCCCTCACCTGCATTCTACAGAAGAGGAAACTGACACACTGGGACTCAAGGTCACAGAACTAGAGAGTGACAGAGCCTAGATTCAGAGCCCCGCAGAGTCCCCATTGGGACTGCTGTGATGTGGCCTCACATAGCACTTGCAACACCTAACTGACCTTTAGCTGGAGCCTGTGTGGCTCCCACTACTAAGGAACAAGGCTCTTCCGGGTGGGGGTGAGGTTGTATTGGTCTTGCACCCCGGGCCTTAGAGCACATGCCCCGGCTGAGGCAGCCGTCAGATTCCTGCTGACCAACTGTGCTTGTCAGCTGTTCATCAGTCTTGTGAGCACCTCGATGCTTAGCCCCGCCTCCAGCCGTCCTCCCAGAGTGAAGGCTCCCACTGACCGCTTATGCTCCGGGCCTCAGGAGTGCAGGGTAGAAGGTGGGTTGTTGGAAGCCAGGAGTCACCGGAGCCGCGTGGACACTGCAGTCATGATGGCAGGCCCCCTCGGGATCTCTGATCGGCTGAGGCAAAATGCGTGTGGTCATCCCTGGATGGACCGGGTGGACATCTCCGGCCCCTGATGAGATCAGAGGGTAACTGTGCTGTTGACTTACGGAGGAAAAGTAAAAATCTAAGGAGATTTGTGCTCACTGAAATTACCGCCACATTAACGGGACACCTCCAGCTACGCAGGTTGTGTCTAGGGCTTTGCGATCGGCATGTGTAGTGTGTCTAGCGTTTAAGAGAGGAAACTGAGGCTCAGGGAGAGTAAGTTACTCCCCCGTCCTGTCTTTAGCGCGATAAACTGACTCCCCGTGCTGACTTCAAAGATGGCGTGTGTATTTTGAAACGAGAGAATGTCAGCGATTTGCCGGATTGTCTTTTTTAAAGGCCTGTCTGTCCACTTGCTCTAGGTGGAAAGTGAGACCAACGTGCTGCAGGACGGCTCCCTCATCGACCTGTGCGGGGCCACCCTGCTCTGGCGGACCGCCGACGGCCTCTTCCACGCGCCCACCCAGAAGCACATCGAGGCCCTGCGGCAGGAGATCAACGCGGCGCGGCCGCAGTGCCCCGTGGGGCTCAACACCCTGGCCTTCCCCAGCATCAGCAGGAAGGAGGTGGTGGAGGAGAAGCAGCCCTGGGCCTACCTCAGCTGCGGCCACGTGCACGGCTACCACAACTGGGGCCACCGCAGCGACACGGAGGCCAACGAGCGGGAGTGCCCCATGTGCAGGACTGTGGGCCCCTACGTGCCTCTGTGGCTCGGCTGTGAGGCCGGGTTTTACGTGGACGCGGGACCGCCGACGCACGCCTTCACCCCGTGCGGACACGTGTGCTCGGAGAAGTCTGCCAAGTACTGGGCTCAGATCCCGCTGCCGCACGGCACCCACGCGTTCCACGCCGCCTGCCCCTTCTGCGCCACGCAGCTGGCCGGGGAGCAGAACTGCATCAAATTAATTTTCCAGGGTCCAGTCGACTGATGCCCTTGGCAGCCATCTACGACTTTATTAACAAGTTACTGTGAAGATTTTTGCCACTAACTCTCGATTTTACCTTTTTATAGTGTTTGTTAAGGGAGGGGCCCGAGGCTGGGAGGAGGGGGAGGGAGTTGGAGGCCAGTGGTGTGTGACTTGCTGCATCGTCCTTGAAATCGGCCTGGTGAACCACATGATCTCTGTAATGATTGAACCGAAGCGCCATGCATTTATTTCAACCTTGAGTTTTTAAGCAAGTCTTTTTTTCCCTTTGTAGCCTTGGATAAAACTTTAAATCATATTTTAAAAATGAAAAAATTTATTCAAAAGTTGTTGGCTCATAATATGCCGCGGTCCGTGCTGCAGGGTGTAGGTGTCCTGGAAGACGTACGATGTCTGGAAATACTTGATACAACAGGCTAGACTCGGACCAGATCAGGAGACCTTAGGCACAGGTGGTGGTTTTGAAATCTGGGGCTTTTTTCTGATTTTTCTTACTTTTGGGGGAGAGAATGTTCATATGTTGTCCTGTTTTCTTTTTAACGTTGGTGGAATTTAATTATTTTATACACACAATCACCAAATACCTTGGCATTTCAAACAATGAACTTTCCGTAACTTTTTACTTTGCCTTTTGTTATTTCTAATATAGTTTGCCCCCATACTCATCGTGCATGGCCAGAACTGTTCAGTTTATTAAAATGTAGCAACTTTTAAAAATCCATTCACTGAGGGTGATTATTGCAGCAGTAAACATGGCCTAGGTACTATAATACCAAGTTTATTTGCTTACCGAATTGTTTTAAGATTTAAGAGCGATTAAAAGTGAGATTTTACTTTTTAAAACCACTCGTTGAGGTTTCATAAGTTTTTTTTTTTTTCTTCCTAAAGAAAGCCAAAATTCTGTGAGCCTAAGAGCAACACGTCACAATGACACGGGCATTTTTATCTACTCCCTCTCCGCCATCTGTCACCTTCCCTCGCAGCTTACAGAGCCCTGGAAGTTTTGAAAATGTTTGCAAATCAAGCTACATTTAAATGTGATCATTAGATATACACAACACCAAGTGGTACATCTGCAGAGATAATTTGAAATTCCTGATTTCAAGAGAGCAAATGAGTGTTTACTGAGGAATAATTAAATCAAAATTTCAGATGAGCCCCTCCAACCCTCTCTGTTTTTTCCCTCTCACTTGGAATAATAATCCGTGGGTGCCCGTTCTGTGTGGTACCAGGAGCATCACTGCTCCCAGAATGGAAATCCTACAGGACAGAGCTGGCTGAGATGGTGGGTCCCTGCCACATGGAACAAGTATTTATTTAAGCTAACATCCTCTTAAATTGACCACTGCACATCCGTACTACATTTTTTAACCTTTGTAAAGATTCTAATTTATATGGTTCTAATATACTATATCTGTACTTGAATTGGTTTTTTCTTGTTTTGCCTACTGGCAAATATTTTGCCTATTTTCAATTGTTCTGACCCATTTTTGAATGTCCTTTTCCTTAAAGTGGTAAGCTGTATTACTCCTGATTGCTGCTGCTTAATTTGACTTAATATATAAGAAGTTCAGCCTCTGTTATAAAATAGCTTTACTTTCCCATGGAGACTATTGTGTAGGATGAGATGTGGTTTTTTGGGGGTAGGTTTTAAGTGATGTGAGAATCCAACCACAGTCCTCTTACTGATCGCTTCCCCTGTTCTATGCAGCGTACTCTACCTGCAGACAGAAAAGAAAGCAATGGAGTTGCCTAACTAATACATCAAATGCCTCTTAATTTAGCCAGAGTCTCCAGTGATCAGCTTTCACTGATAGAGTGTGTCCTTTCCATCTGTGATTCTTTGGGCTTCACAAAATGGTAAAGGAAGCACACACTCTTTTTCTTACTATAGAGCTAGAAGGTGGTTTGAGGACTCTTGATACCCTAAAAGTATCTTGTAAGGTAAATGGTCTAGCATCCAGAAAGGCTGGATTTTACCTCTCAAAAAAAACTTTTTTTTCCAGAAAGTTGTGCTCTGATACAATTTTCCATTTTCAAGAACTATATAGGAGTCTGGTAGTTCTGCATATAACATGTGCCTCAAAACAAAATTATCTTCCAACCTGAAAAGTTTCTGACTTTTAGCAAACTCAGATAGCTAAATGGAAGTTGAAATTTGGGGAATAAATTTCAAACTCTTGGAAGGCGCTAGCTACATCTTGTCCTTGCAGCTCCACGTGAGGTCCCTCCTACCTGCCTAAGACACCACAGTGCGGGGGCAAGTCTTCAAAAAGGAAACCATGTTCATCTTGGCCACGTTTAGTCAGATCCTCTTAGGATCTTGGCTAATGAGATTTGTTTCTCAGAGTTGAGAGTGTCAGTTTGTAGGAATAAAGAACTCTAATCACCCAAGTAGAGTAATCTAGTTCAGAAAAGGTCACCTCTCAGAGGTCACGTCTGTTTTTATGTTTTGCTTGCCACCACATTGAAGGGTGAGTCTCACTCCCCTATGTGCATTCATAGGAAGTTACTGACCAATTATCCCCATCTCGGCCTGACCGAAATGCCTCTTGTGAATAGGTTTCCAGAAGTTTGGCCCCAGTGATGTATTCCCATTGGTATTTTTTTTTTTCAGTTGTTTACTACCAAAAAAAAAAAAAATTCAGAGTGAATGGGGTTACAACACAATATTTTTCTAGTCCGGAATTTTTTTATTAATAATCGGTGCTGCCGGGTCATGCATGCTGCAACTCTTAACATTTTCTTTATTTGGTTATGCTTTTTGCAAAAAGGGCTACAGTTCACACTGCAGAGTATTAAGCTTTCTGGGTTTTTCCCACTGTGGCCCCAAAGAGTTAAAATCTTTTAATATAAATAGAGCATATTTATCATTCCTCGATAGTTAATTATAGAGTTTGGTACCTTTGTGCCTCAGGGAAGCCACGTGATATAACTGGTTATAGAATTTCAGGGTTAGGGTTTAGAGAAAGGAGAAAGCCATTGGAAAAACGATGGGCTCCATTAAGGAGACTAATGAATCTGGATGCAGAAATATGCCGGGAACTGGCATACACATGATTGTAGTAGAATTTATTTCCAGTATCATTACGGAAATAGTTTTTAAGTTATTCCATATACTGTATCAGGAGAGTTGAGGAGAGTGCTTCATAAAGCTTCAACGCTTTATTTTTGCTTACATAGAAAAACTCCAACTCCTGTGATGTGGGAGCTCAGTATTGTTGTTTGGGCACTTTTGAGAGTGTAAGGGAAACGTTTCCCCTGTCTTGATTTAAGTGTGACACAGGTCACAGAATTGTCACCTGCCGTTCTATGATTTTGATCGACTTCTTTTGTTTTTAAAAGCCATTCTGTGCTCTGGACTTGCATGAAAAGGTTATGATCACACCATTGTTAATGCTGGCTAACACCGAGCTATATTCGAGTGATCCTGCCTTGTGACAGTGGAATTTCTGATAGACAAACCACGGAACTTTGATTTTAAGCCGGGTCCAGCTCCGTTCCCTTGCCGGTCAACCTTATATCCCCACAGTCCAGCCTCCATGGGCTGAAGGTATGAAGGTCCGTCATTAGTACTGGAAATGGAGCCACCCTGTGATCGCTTCTTTATGACCCAGTCAAAGGCCAATGAGAAAACTTTAGGGTCTTTTGAAAAGAGTGTAAGAATGATTGAAGCAGTACAAGACTTCTCAGTATTTCTTTTTTATAAAACTTACATCCTCTCAAGTAAATTTTAGCCCTCATGAACAATCCCTAGAGGAAGATAGGGAAAAGCAAATATTTTTCCAGTTCTATTTAACTTTCTAAACAAAATAAACTCAATGAAAGGGAAGCTGGGGTTTTTGTTTTGTTTTGTTTTTTAGTGGAGATGACAGATTGCTTCCCTGTATTAAATAGTCTAGTTAAGGGGTGGTCATATTTACCATGTATAGTGTTATGAGCAGTTAAATTTTATGGCTATATTTGTAAAACTTCTTTTATATTTCATGTCAAATTGAAAAATTTATTTCTTCACTATTGTACCTGTGGAAATACAAGCCATTTTACAGGAAAAACCTTCAAAAACTATTAAACGGATCTCAGTATGTTTCTGAGTGGTTGTCTTCAGACTCTGTGGCCATCCTGGGTTCATCAGGACATTCACTAGGAAACTAATACAAAAGCAGACTTGATTCTTGTATTTAAGCTTATTATTGTTTTATATTCCACACAGTGCGGATATATTAAAATCTGGATACTGAAAACCCCCTTAATTTTCTTATGGAAAAAAAACTTCATTGGTGCTTATATTACTATTTCTTGTGACATTACATCTCTGTCAAATAACTCTAACTTCTAGGAGATCTTAACCTGGCTTGTAGGATTAATGGATTTTCTTTCTGACCATTAAAGTTATATTGCTACTTTTGTGAAAATCTTCATTCACATTTAACGACATAAGGATTATGTGTAAGCCTTCAGGCCTTAAACTGATGTCTTCCATAAGAAAATATATGTATGTATGGTAATTTTTTCCATCACGTTGATATTTAAAGAATCTTAGTATTGTTGAGACAGATTTTTCACTTCCACCAAAAGAAAATGCACATTTATGTGGGCTATTGTTTCATGACATGCCATGAATTGTAAGATGTGTTATTATGGATGAAGATAGTTATAATTGTAAGAAGATGCACTCCATTCACAAGGGTACAGTATTCATGGGGAAAGAGCAGTGTTCTACAAATGGAGTTGGGACAACTAAATATCCACATGCAAAAGCATGAAGTTGGACACCTACCTTACACAGTATACAAAAATTAACTCACACTGGATCAAAGGGCAAACACTGCATAATTCTTAGAAGAAAACAGAGTAAATCTTTGTGGCCTTGGGTTAGTCGATTTCTTAAATACAACACCAAAACCTACAACCAACAAAAGAAAAAGATAAATTTGAATTCATCAAATTTGAAGTGTTTTGTGCATCAAAGGACACAAAGTAAAAAGACATCCACAAAATGGGAGAAGATATTTGTAAATCATATGCCTGATAAGGGAGTTGTATCCAAAATATGTGAAGAATGCATAACTCATCAATGAAAAGCCCAGTTTAAAAATGATGAAAACATTTGGATATTTTTCCAAAGAAAATATGCAAATGACTAATAAGCACATAAAAAGATTCAATATCGTTAGCCATTAGGGAACTACAAACCATGAGTTATCACTTTATAGCCACTATGATGGCTAAAATAAAAAAGTAACAAGTATTGGCAGTTTGTCAAAAGATGAGAACCTTACACTGTTGGTGGGATTATAAAACTGTACAATTGCCTTGGAACATGCAGGTTGGCAGTTCCGCAAAAGGTAAAATATACAGCTACCATGTGACAGCATTTTCACTCCAAGGTATATACCCAAAAGAATTAAAATTATGTTGACACAAAATTTATCCATGAATGTTCATAACAGTATAGTTACCAAAAAGTAGAAATGAACCAAAAGTCCATCAACTAATGAATGGATAGATAAAATGTCATGTATCTATACAATAGAATATTGTGTGGCTATGAAAATTAATGAACTGATACATAGTATTACAACATTCATGAACTTGGAAACATGCTAAGTGAAAGAAGCCAGACACAAAAGGTCCTATTCAGTATGTCAGAAATAAGCATCTTACAACACCTGATTAAACATCCTGGGTACGGTTAAGACACTCCCATAACCACCAGCAAGAGCACTGAGGACTAGTAAGCAAAGAAAAAATATACTCTCACAATTGAAGTGCAAGTGAAAAGATGGGAAGAAGAAAACCTTTGAAAACAATATGTTGATAATTTATTATTCATTTTCTTTATCTATTTGTGTTTAGAAAATAAATTACCTAAGTCTCAGCAGATACATATTGGAACTGTGGAATTTCTGTAGGAATAAATGTCCATGTGCTTTCAGGTACTTGCCAGAGTTTTAACAAAATTATGGACAGCATTAAGAGTAGCAAAAATCATCTTCAATATAACCTTTAACAATTCATCAGGTAGTTTAATGTCATCAAAATAAGTTTGAACAAACTTGGACCAGTCCTCTTTTTTTGCATTTTCTCCTTTTTATTTCAATAACCTTTAAAGTGATTTCTCTTGTTTTTACTGCCTAATTGGAAAGCACCAAGCCCTTGGGTCGAAGAAAAGCCAACTTATAACAGCTTTGGGGAGTAGAGAGTGAAGAGGGCAGACTGGTGAGGAAAAGGGCAGACCTATAAGTAACTGCAGTGCTCACTCCCAGAGGTGCAGCATCCACAGCGACCTTTCCAGGGACAAGATGGACAGCACAGCCCCGCAGTACAATCTGCCCAGAGAGTCTGTACTGAAAGGAGGGGAAGTGATTCATAGGCCGAGAAAGACCTGGACAAAAGCAGCCACTTCTGGAGGAATCATTTGTGCTAAAGCAATGAACACTTCCCGGAGAGCCATTGCAGGAGGCAGATGTTTAGATAATACACATCTGCTTTGTGTTTCTATCAGGCCTTCCGCCTGAGAGCTGCAGGACGTAACACGAACATGAACTAATAAATTAAGCCTCATGGCACTTCTGCGTGATCGATAGACGTAACAGCCATTTCGTAGTGCAGGAAGGGCAGCCTCTGCTCACAGGTGCTCAAGTCATTTACCCAAAGGAAACCATGGCAGACTCTTCCAAAATGGAGTGTCGGTTCTCCCCACGCTCGATCAATGTGCTTTCTCACTTGGCAGGTCAGCAGTTTCAACAGCATGTTTTCTTCAGTGGGACACTTGGCGACGATGAAGGGGGTGCAATGTATACACTGGTTTCCGTGATTCGTTCCAAGAGATCCATCTTCAACGTAACTGGGAGTTGGTTTGAAAATAATAAGCCTTGGATCAAAGCCTTAACTCCATTCTCTCTGGTTTGCCCAGGAATTAATCTGTTTGCTAATGCTGGTCTCCCCTGGTCTGACCGTGGCCTTTAGCGCTGCAGTTACGTGCTCACGTTGCTTAATCCGATTATGCAAAGAACTTAAAATATTACAGGGATATCAAACAACCCCAACAGGTCTGTGTAGGCATTAGTGTAATTATTTGTTTTGTTATTTTAAGTCCTGAAAAGCTCATGAAATTGCCTTTGAAAATAGGGTGTGACATCTTGACAACAGGCAATGCCTAGCCCTTGAAGGAATCTAACTGGCTTGGTCACACTTCACTGTGTAGGCGCCTACGTCCTACTCCTCTCCATTATCACAACCTGTTCTAAGTGGTGGCGTCTCTGTCCTCTTTCTCTTCCATAACCCACATAATTTCAGTAGAATAAGTCAGAAGGAAACAGAGCAAGGAAGTCAGAAAACCCCGGAGCTCCTAGTCCCTTTTAGAAAGAAAACGGCCACCTCCCTTTCACAAAGGTAGGATGATTCTACCTCGATACATGTTTTCAAACTTCTCAGAGAGTAGCCAGCTTACCTCCAAGTCACTGGTGCTCTTAATTCCCATGTGCTCTCTCTCTTCTACAGCAAGAAAGAGGAGCTTCTTTTTTCATAAAGCAGGGAGGCATCATTTACTTGCCACTGGTTGCCATTCAGTCTCCAGACCTCTCAGAGAGTAGCCAGCTTACCTCCAAGTCACTGGTGTTCTTAATTCCCATGTGCTCTCTCTTTTCTACAGCAAGAAAGAGGAGCTTCTTTTTTTATAAAGCAGGGAGGGCATCATTTACTTGCCACTAGTTGCCATTCAGTCTCCAGACTCTGTCCTGTGCCCGCTTTGCATCCTCAACCCGCTCGCACCCTGTTGTCTCCCAGGCCCTCCCAACACCCCAAATGCTGGCACTGACTGAGCAGTGGTGGGGTGACCTGGCCTTGAGGTGGCAGAGCCGGGAGGGACCGCACCTCCTGGTTTCCGCCGTGTGCGGGGAGCTCTGGGACCTGCGTGGATGGGATGTAAGCCCCAGCGCCTGGTCGTTCTGTAGAAATTCTGTTACTGAGCAGTGGTGGGGTGACCTGGCCTTGAGGTGGCAAAGCCGGGAGGGACCGCACCTCCTGGTTTCCGCCGTGAGCGGGGAGCCCTGGGACCTGCGTAGATGGGATGTAAGCCCCAGCGCCTGGGACTGGTCGTTCTGTAGAAATCCTGTCACACGTGCCCCAGTCATCTCCACAAGGAGTGGGTGCTTATCCACATAGGGGACTGCACGTGTTTGGAGGAGGGGGTCAGTGAATGGCCATAACTTAGGAGAAGAAAAAAACCCCCTAAGTGATTCTGATACTGTATCTGGGAGGCCGGTTAAAATCCTCCTCCTTGTAGACTATGTAGCTTTTGAAAAGCATATTTTGTCCTAGAGTTTCTGACTGGTGTGGGTGGAACACCAGGGTGGCGAGTGGGGGCGGGGGGAGAGTGTGTGTGTGTGTGTGTGAAGGACAAGTCAGCAGAAAAAGCACGAGGGCAACCAGCCACCTAAGCCTGCACTTCCGGCCTCCACCATTTCCTCAGAACTCTCTTGTGTGTCCTCTCTTGTGTGTCGAGGTTGATAAACTTAAAGGGAGAACTAAAGATCTTGTGAGAGAAGAGAAACCACCCCGAAGTGCTCTGCTGTGGGAATGAGATCATTTCTCAGTGTGGGGCTCTGTGGTTTGACCTTGGGAGCCTGGGTCCTAGGCCATCCGAGGCTCGTTTGTCTCACTTGAAGAATAAGCCTGGAGTTGGCTGAAGGACCGTCACTGCTGCTCACACCCTCATTATTAAGGTTTTTAGGGGCGGAAACAGCCTTTTCCTTGGGAGTTTGTATTGCAACCTTTGAAGCAACCATAACAAAAACCCAGAGTGCATGAACTCATTCTTTCTGAGCTTCCAGAGAATTCGTGTTTTGTGACAGAAAAGGAAATACTTTCCTACTCATTGGAGCCCCTGCTAGACTAAAAGTTGGCAGGGTTGAATGGTTTTGTGACAACAGGAAAATTTATGGCTACAAATTTAATTAGGATCCTCACTTGGAACTGTCAACAAAATGAAAAGGCAAACAAGGGGATGGGAGGAAATATTTGCAAATCATATGTGATCAGGGGTTAATATTCAAAGAACTCGCATAATTCAATAGCCATAAAATAAACAATCCAATTAAAAAGGGGGCAGAGGAACTGAATAGACCCTTTTTCCAAAGAAGACATACAAATAGCCTATATATATATGTATATATGCATTGTTCCAATATATCATACATATAACTTTTTAAAAAATCTTGATAAGTACATTCTAATTGAGTTAAAATATGTGTCACATGAAGTTTGCCATTGTAGTCACGTTTAAGTGTACAATTCAATGGCATTAAGTACATTCACATGTTGTGTAACCATCAAGCTAATTTCAGCTAAGTTTTTCCTCTGGTGAATGTGGTCAGAAGGAACTGGAGGTAATTCTGTG